ACACCTGTTCTACCTGCTGCAGTTCAGACACACACCTGTTCTACCTGTTGCATGTCAGACACACACTTGTTCTCTCTGCTGCAGGTCAGACACACACCTGTTCTCTCTGCTGCTGCTTAGACACATACCTGTTCAACCTTCTGCTGCTCAGACACACACCTGTTCAACCTGCTGCACGTCAGACACACACCTGTTCTACCTGCTGCAGATCAGGCACACACCTGTTCTCTTTGCTGCTGCTCAGACACACACCTGCTCTACCTGCTGCAGATCAGACATACACCAGTTCTCTCAGCTGCAGGTCAGACACACCTGTTCTATCAGCTGCATGTCAGACACACACCTGTTCTCTGCTTCTGCTCGGACACACACCTGTTTGACCTGCTGCAGGTCAGACACACGCCTGTTCTACCTGCTGCAGGTCAGACACACGCCTGTACTACCTGCTGCAGGTCAAACACACCTGTTCTACCTGCTGCATGTCAGACACACACTTGTTCTCTCTGCTGGAGGTCAGACACACACCTGTTCTCTCTGCTGCTGCTTAGACACATACCTGTTCTCTCTGCTGCTGCTTAGACACATACCTGTTCAACCTGCTGCTGCTCAGACACACACCTGTTCAACCTGCTGCATGTCAGACACACACCTGTTCTACCTGCTGCAGATCAGGCACACACCTGTTCTCTCTGCTGCTGCTCAGACACACACCTGTTCTCTCTTCTGCAGGTCAGACACACCTGTTCTATCAGCTGCATGTCAGACACACACCTGTTCTCTATACTGCATGTCAGGCACACACCTGTTCTATTTGCTGCTCATGAGACACACACCTGTTCTCTCTGCTGCTGCTCGGACACACGCCTGTTCTACCTGCTGCAGGTCAAACACACACCTGTTCTACCTGCTGCAGGTCAGACGCACGTCTGTTCTACCTGCAGCAGGTCAGACACACATCTGTTCTCTCTGCTGCTGCTCAGACACACACCTGTTCTACCTGCTGCTGGTCAGACTCACATCTGTTCTCTCTGCTGCAGGTCACACACACCTGTTCTACCTGCTACTATCCGATCAGACACACACCTGTTCTCTCCGCTGAAGATCAGACACACACCTGTTCTCTGCTGCGGATCAGACACACCTGTTCTCTGCTGCGGATCAGACACACCTTTTCTATCTGTTGCATGTCAGACACACCTGTTATACCTGCTGCAGATCAGACACACACCTGTTCTACCTGCTGCAGGTCAGACACACACCTGTTCTCTCTGCTGCAGATGAGACACACACCTGTTCTATCTGTTGCATGTCAGGCACACACCTGTTATACCTGCTGCAGATCAGACACACACTTGTTCTCTCTGCTGCAGATCAGAAACACACCTGTTCTACCTGCTACTATCCGATCAGACACACACCTATTCTATCTGATGCAGATCAGACACACACCTGCTCTCTCTGCTGCAGATCAGAAACACACCTGTTCTACATGCTTCTATCCGATAAGACACACACCTATTCTATCTGTTGCATGTCAGACTCACACCTGTTCTACCTGCTGCAGATCAGGCACACTCCTGTTCTACATGCTACTATCCGATCGGACACACACCTATTCTATCTGATGCAGATCAGACACACACCTGTTCTACCTGCTTCATGTCAGACACACACCTGTTCTACCTGGTGAAGATCAGACACACATCTGTTCTACCTGCTACTATCCTAACAGACAAACATCTGCTCCTGCTCAAACACACCTGTTCTACCTGCTGCAGGTCAGACACACACCCGTTCTCTCTGCAACCTGCTCAGACACACCTGTTCAACCTGCTGCTGGTCAGACACACACCTGTTCTCCCTGCTGCAGATCAGATACACACCTGTTCTACCTGCTGCATATCAGACACACACCTGTTCAACC